GAAAAAGACGTTCGGAAATTATGCTTTTGACGATGATAAATAATGACTTACAGATCCCTACAAAGAGAACCGCCAAAATTTCGACAAATTTCGCGTTGAAATTTTCAGCCAATCAGAAGCCCGGATTTGGCTCACCGGCCAATCAGTAGCCGAGTAGTCGCCCACGCAAAATTTGTCGAAATTTTTTGTCGGTTCCTGACGCCAACCCACTATTTTGGTAAGAGATAGATTAAGGGTGTCACAGCGAAAAGTCTGGGAACAGCCTGCTTTTTCATGTCTTCCACCGCAAACTGGGAGTTGAGTAATTTGCGGTTTGTCCGACGGCAGCTGATGTTGCTCTCGACGATGTTGGTGCTAATTAGTGAGCAATTTCTAATTCGCCTCACACGTTAACCCACTTCTTTTTTCTCGCGCCAAATAGAAGCCCGTGTGCTGGAACCACAGAAGCTGCAACTTGCAAGACGGGAGTAATTACGCGCCATAATTTGCTCCTGTAAAATACGTTGCGACTCTTGCGGCGGCGAACTTCTAAAGCGCCGCGCGGATCAAGTGGCCAAGGAATACTTTTTAATTAAAATTCTGTCGAAATTTTCGAACAGAATTATGTATCGTTTCATTACCGTTTCTCCATCTGCGGCGCTTTTTTGGGAGGGATACCCTTATTGCCTCAGCAGTAAATTCGTCACTAGGATCACAATTAGTTTTATTTCATACCGATGTGTTTTGAAGCGTTTTATAACGCGTATGATTAGGCTTCTGATGAATTTTATATTGTTCAAAGATCAAATGAATTTTAAGGTTAAAAGAAGGTTAACTGAAGTCTAGAGATCTGTTTTCTGTGTAGAAAACCTGACTCAGGTTTCTAAAAAAGCTATAATAGAAAGTCGTATAGGCGCTCGGGATTTCATAATTGCTACTCAGGAACCTGACTCAGGTTTTCTACACAGGTCGCCGAAGTCAGCTCGGATCGTAGGATGAATAGTTGCTGTATCACGTGATTATCTACTTGCAAAGAGGAAAGGCTAGGATGATGAGGAGGAGGAGGAGCATATCTTAAAAGCTTGTGGTCAGGTGGTTTGCCCTACGCTTTAGACAGCTGCTACTTGAGATTAAAACTTTCCCTCATTAAAACTTTTCAATCGATCGTAAAAGGCACATTTACCAATTATACTCGTATTATTGACAATTAACCCTCATCATGTTCCGAGAAATAGATCCAATCAAGTCAATTTAATTATTTCTGTTTTCTAGCAATACTCGGCTGCATCGTTATTGTTTTCATCAATTTGAGCAACTTGATTCTGGCAAAAATAGACCAACGTGGTCGGAATACAATGGTCAGTCGTCCAGAGTGTTATCTTGACGTGAACTTTTCGCAGCGAAATTCGATTTGCCGGTGCCCTAATTTTCTTATTTCTGGACTCTTTGAAGACAATTGCGAAAATCTTCATGTCTTTTTCTTGTTTTTTTTTCTGCTCAAAATTGTTAGGAAAGAATAATAAAAAATGGCCAATCAAAGATGAGCGCGCTTATTTTGAATCTGAAAATTGCCCGCAATAATTATGTTTTTTCTTGGGATCCAAATCGAAACCGGCATTTTTTTGATAGATCTGAATTTGAGATTAGAATCCTAGAAGAAGTTCTGTCGATGGTGTAATCGGATAGGAAGAGAAACCTTATCAGAAATGCTTCTTCCGCCCTTATCAAGTGCAAAATTAATGTACCAGCATCAACATTAATTTTTGGACCAAAGAAGTGTTCTTTTTGAATTGATTGGGAGCTTTAATCTAAACCCGAATTCTAAAATCAGATCTTCTGCTGGTAAACGCAGACCTTTCAGATCTAAAACTGGTAAGTTTCTAGTGCGCAATGAGATTTGTGACCTTACAAATGAGCGTTGGCTCCGATTTCAAAGCAGTTTTTTTTCCACGAAAAAGATGAGTCCCCGATTTTGTGGCGCACCTGGCAGTCGTGATATCTCACGAAATTCGAAATTCTGCAGTTCTCAATCCAGTTTATTTAAATTTACTCGCGCCAAGGTGTGCAATAATAAATATTGAAACCGACCAAATGTTAGATAAACCGTTTACGTGCACAATGGAAAGAATCAGAAAATTTATAAAACATTTTTTCGCTAGAATTAAACTTATCAAAATATCCTCAGAAGAAAATTTTCCCAAACAATTAAGGGGGTAGATCTCAGGAATCAGATTTCTTTGCACTATTTTTTTTCGAATTTTTATCATAGTGACCCCCTTATTTTTTCTGCTCAAAATACATTTCAGGCAATAATATATTTTCTATGGAAGCCAAAAATTTCGATTTCTTGTGTTTTCAAGGTGCTACAATGCGAATCTGTCACCTTGGATTGTCGTCAAAATAAGAGTTTTAGCAATGTTGGGGATTTTTGATGGTACATTTTGTGAAAAAAATTTTCGAAATTTTGATTTTGTCTTTTTAGGAAATAGAAAAAGGTCTAAACTTTTAGTTGCTGGAGAAAAATAAGGGTGTCACTTCGTAAAATTCTGGAGAAAAAGCTGCAGCGAAATGGCGATTCTCGATATCTACCGCCTTAATCATCGAAGATAATGTATTTTTTCACGATGTTAACCCCGTCAAAATCCGAACTGTTAAAACACTGGGCGTTGAAAATTGAATAATGACAATTGAATTGAATTATTCTGATTCCAAAACAAACGGGAGCAGTAAAAACGGTCAATCAGCTTTGGTACTTGCGGCAACAAATAATTTTCAGACTCGTTTGTTCGCTGAAATGATTAATAAATAAAGGAAAATTATTTCCGGGAGAAAAAGAATTGATTGTTTTTACAAAGCATGTTTTTTCGGTTGTCTAAAATTTAAATTTTTTGTGTATGAAAAACCTACTTTTGGACGGTAGAAGCGGGATCCCTTACAAAGGAGAGATATTGAAGACGAAAATTTATGGAAATGTATGACTTCTAATGGGCCTCATGACGTTGCTTGAACGAAAGGATTAACAGCCAGTGACAAGTGGAGTGATGCTACCTGTCAAAGACTACCGCGGAGCTGCTCCATCCTCTACCGCTCTTCAAAATCTTTCAGTGTAATATTTCGACATTACACTGGAAATTTTCTGAAATGAAAAAAAATATGTCTTTTAGAAAATCGACTGTTTTTCGAGTAGCAAGCTTGTCTCGTTAATTGTTAATTGGCTGTTGGTAGTGTGCTGTCGTGGCGTAAAAATAGATAAACGCAGCAGGAGCTTCTTATCGCCGAATTTTGAGAGAGCGCCATTCTCCTGATAAGCAAAACAGCATTGGTTTCACAATTGCTTAGATTTTCTAGTGATCAACCAATGGTTGATATTCCGGGCAAAAAATAAATCTCGCATCGAAAATTTACGAGTTCTACGCTTCTACGCTTGCCTAGATTTTCGCCGAAAATTGGCTTAAAAACGTTTCATAAAATCCAGCGACTCGCGTATTCTGTTTCAAAACGAGCCTGGGCTTATCTTAAACTTCCGTACTGCTTGTTACGTTCACTGAATCATTTTTCTAGTTATCAATTTACAACACTTCTACGCTGAAAACTTGAATTGTAAGAAATAGAAATGTCTTTCTGTTCAATCGGCAAAATAAAACGGAACAAGAAAAAGTGTTTTAATTATCAAAAAAGCGATTTCAATAGTTCAGATTTTGAAGCAAGCTAAATTGTTGTGACTTCAGTTTTTACAGCCTCAAAATTGCTTTCAAACAAATCTGATTAAAATTTTAAAGCCTTTATTCATTACTGTATCAGGGAAGCTACTGTATTTCTTATATAATAAATACCAGACTCAATATACAATCGATAGATAAGCAAAGCTTTCATCTATAAGATGAAAACCACGTGCCAATAATACCAATAATTATCACAATAAAATGATATTATCTGATGATTCATATTCAAATTTGAGCTCAGCTGAGCAGATAATTAACGCCGAAACGCAGGGCGACCAATTAATTGGTACAGGGCCCTTTAATGCCCCATAACTCAACTTTTACTTTATGGTAGAAAAAAATGAACCCCCACTTATGGAGCTACTTTTTATCGAGGAATTTGATTCCGGTGTCAGAAAAATTTTTTTTTGAAAATTTTTGATTTTAGCTATTGAACAAAGTTTTGAACTCGGATATTTATATATTCTTTCAACAATAAATCGCCATTACGTCGTAATTCGGCACATTTGGAAATACGCATATTTACTCATATTTATGTTATGATATGAATATAATATGGGGATGAAATTGAAGCTAAGCGTCTGAGAAATATTTATCTGTATCATTTATTCAGTAGACTTATCAGTTTCATTGTTAAAAAGGGGTAAAAGGGGCGTACCAATTAATTGGTACGATCTGCGTTCCACCTTGAAAAAATTTTATGCGTTCCGGCGTTAAAATTAGGTAAAAACGTCTACTCTTTTCTTTAAAATTGAGTACTAGGAGTTCATTGGTCGGGCCAGCACCTAACCCTAACCCTAACCCTAAGCTAAGGCTTCGCCTCCTGGGACCCCTCAGTAGCACTATTCCCTAATCCCTAATCGAGAAAAATCTCATTTTCTTCAATTGACCCCGGTTCCTTGCGAATTCCTACCGTAGAAAAGAAGATGCTTTGACAACGGAAGCAAGCTCTCATTTCCGTTAAATCTGCTTCTTGCCTTCTTCATCCCCTTTTTCTAAGCTGGCTTAACTTCCTGATGTCGGGCGGATTTCCATCGAGTTTTTCCAATACGAGGCCACGCGAATGGCGAGGCAGGTCGATTGTTAATCGCTTCCTGGCACCATGCTGGTCCATCTTGGACAATCTCAATACCAGAATTTTCGAAAACTAGCGGCGCCACTTTCCATCACAGATGGCGCTTTTCTCCTTTCCATGACTAGATTTGGGTAACTTCGACTTCGCAAGAGCAACTTGGCACTTCTTCTTTAAACTTTTCTTTTAAAAAGTCAAAGTCAACGAAAACCAAGAAGTCGAAAGTTATGGACACTCGAAAAATCGGAGGTAAAGTGCATATTTTAATTTGTCTGCTTTACTGTTTCAAGTCTTTGACAGACAGAAAAGTCGTAAACTGACATAAGAAAAGATCTGAAATGTCGATTGAATCTATCCAAAAACCCCAATTTCACGATGTTTTGCATCAAATTCGTTCTTTTTTCTCGATAATTGACCACAATGATTACAATCATACTATATTCTTCAATTTAAAAATCGGAAATTATGAATCAAGCTCAACTTTAAATCAAAAGAAATATGTTAAATCTTCTTCAGAAAAGCAAAATGTAGAAAGGCACCATATTTTTTCGACGCAAATTATTTTTTATGAAGCAATAAAGCGTTTGATTTGTAATTTCATTGTTATCATATTTATTCTATCTTTATTACGAGGCTAAGATTCGATGTTCAAGTTTTTAATTAAAAACTTCTGATGATAAATTAGAGACTGCATATTTCTACTCTATGTGAAATGACAGAACATTGTTCTTAGATTTTCTAGTTCCAAACATTCCAGTCAGTCTATCCGCCCGACCGTCAGTCGATCTTGAATGTATGGCTCTAGCAGTGACGCCAGTTTCCTGCTGTCATTCACTTTACAAGTGCCCTCCTTGACAAGAAACTGCTCCTCCTGCTGCGCCCCACAAAAACAGCCCCTTAGTACGGCAAGAAAGCATGTTTGCCAAAAATTAACAACAGTGTCAATTGAATTTTCTTTTGACGAAGAACTCCCTAATTGTCGTTTATACAGTAGCTGAGAGCAGTGGCCTCTTGGCTTGATTGTTTCAAGCAGCGCACCTGTTTGAAAGGTAGTAGTGCTCTTTTGGCGGATAAGATGTAAATCTGGACTTAGTGATTTGCACGGAAGGCTAAGACTTCGCTTCAACCTTTTAAGTGAATTTCCTTTCGAGTAAAGTAATCCACTCTCCGGTGAGTTAATCGCGCGCTTTGCGACTTCAAGAGCACCGCCTTAGGCGAGTGAGAATCGATCTACAAGCGGATATTGTTTCTCTGATCTTGAGATATTATCATTCGCAAAAAAAAACAGTGTTGGGACTTCCGAATCATGGGCAGAACCAAGAACGTAGAGAGGGGTTATCATTCGCGCCTATGATTCGAGCCATACAATATCTTAGAATCTGGGCTAGTGGCTAGGGTTAGGGACTAGGAACTTTCAAGGGGGGTTTCGGGGGGCGAAGCCCCCTAGTTAAGACCTTAGGTGGGAGGTCCTGGGGGGCGTAGCCCCCTGGGTTAGGTTAAAGGTTAGGGGCAGCTCGAATGATAACCCCCTACTACCACCAAGAAAAGAAAGCATTTTCTCGATCTGGGTTTTAATTGGCCGGAAGGCCATATACAGCAATCTTATTGGTCGCCCAAAAATGCACTTCCTTTTCTTGATTTGTGCCCAAATCATAACCCTAAGCCTAACCCTATTGAATAGGATATTTTTATATCCCTTATTTCTCTGAAAGTTTCTGACCCCTATTTATCGTGAAAAGTACTTGATTCTAAAATGAGGTCGGAAGAGCCTACTCTGTTGGACCCTTGTCAAGGGGAAGTTTAGACAGTGGCGGGAACATTAATTTTGCTATTTCAGGACGAATATTAGAGGTTCCTTGTCGCGTTTGTGGTGACAACAGCTCCGGCAAGCACTACGGTGTGTATGCTTGTGATGGATGTAGCGGATTCTTCAAGGTTTGTCCAGAACGCATAAATCAAAAAACGCGAAATCTGATCCTTTAGAGATCCATCAGGAAGTGCCGAAGCTACATTTGCAAGGGCGTAATCCAAGGACAATGTCCAATCGATAAGGCGCACAGGAACCAGTGCCGCGCCTGCAGATTAGAACGCTGTTTGAAGGTAAAACTAATATAATAATAGCAATTTTAGATGTGTGCTTGGGATTATCTAGCCGGGAAAGAAAGAGGGTTAGTCGAAAAATAGTAAAACAAGAACTCGAACTACTAGAATTCTCAAGTTCAAGTCTCGAACTTTTCAATCGAACTCAGGGCTGGACCCTGTGTAGAAAACCTGAGTCAGGGTCCAGAAAGATCGGCTCAGTCAATTGACGGTCTCTTTCAGGACCCTGACTCAGGATTTCGAGCCGAAAACAAGGGGCATATTCCGGCAAAATAATTCAGTACAGTCAGGAATTTGACTAACTGAATTATTTTCCTGGATTGACCACATTTTAGAGCAGAAAAATTGACAATTCTCAACTTAATAACTGCGTTGGAGTCTAGTTGACAATGAATCTGAAAATTCGGAATCAAGAATTAGTTTCATTGATTATTTTTTTTATTTTGAGTTTCGGGAAAAAGATCAAGAAGCTTATAAGATACGACGTTGATAATTCGTCATATCGCACGGCTAATACCGAAGACGTCCCGACTTTAGCAGCACTCGGTCTAATGTCGGGACAAGGCCTTTTTAAGTGCTGATAGTGTCACTCTTTCAAACTGACTAACTCACTCAGGTGCGGATGAATCGCGACGCTGTCCAGAACGAACGTGGTCCTCGAACGTCCACGATTCGCAAGCACTTGGCTTCGATGCAGGCCAAAACCGGTCACTCGTTTCCCGGATTGATGCAGCAAGGAAGTATCGCTGGCCAGTCTCCCCATGGGAGTCTAGGACTCAATCTTGGCTTTGGTAATGTCGGATTGCCCTTTTCGTTTCCTGGGCAGGCGCGGACGAGATTGCCCCCTACGCAAACAGGATCGGATTCTGCAATATATACCAATTCGGTTTTTGTCCATAAAAATGGAAATTCTTATTTTACGCTTGATAAATCATAATGATAAAGAAGTGTTATTAGTTTATCGTTTATCAGAGAAAGAAAGTTACTGATTGTATATCGGCGCAAATTGTTTATTTATTGCTGATTTCCAATAAGGATTCAATCTTGATAAAACATGTGCGCTTCGAAATAATAACTTATCTTTTTTTATTGAAAACTTACTTTTTTCATCATTAATTTTTGCTACCTTAGAAGTTCGAATCAACCGTTTAGTAAGCACGTAAAAGCTAGTTGCTTCACGGCTGAATAACGACTAAAAACATTCATATATCAAGTAACTCGCTTTTTTCAATCCAGAATCCAGTTCAAGCTATACCGAGCGCGATGCCACCGAGAACTCTTCCCGAATTGCCGAGCAATATCAACTCGTCTACCGCGAGCCAGGTCCAGGACACTTCCTCGGAAAGTGGAAACGAGGAGGAACTTGTTACATCCTCGACAAACCACGATGTAGAGGTAATTACTCGAAAACGAATAAGAGTTTCATAATTTTGTCTTTTTGCTAGGTAGTCGACATGGGCAATTCCCAAGAAAGCGAGGACGAAGACAACTCGACTTCGGCAGAGATGAGTCCGCAAGCGGCTCAACTCAGAGCCGGGCTTCATACTTTTCGGATGCTGCTTGCTGAATTTTCGTCAAAATCGCTCTTTGATTGCATTCGCTGGGTGAAGAATCAACCCTACTTGTCGGCCGTGCCTAAGGAAAATAAGGTAAGAGAAGTGATGAATACCAGATCATCGAATTCTTCCTGCTGTTAAAGGACTGACACCCTTATTTCTATCAAAATTAAGATCGCGATGCTAGAAGATTTCTGGGCCTCGTTTATGATGCTTGAAATGGTTGAATGGTTGACTCCGATGATCAAAGCGCAGATTCGACTTACTTCCGAGCAGCAATCGTAAGTCATTTTCAACTAGCCACATTTTCTAATGCTATTTTCAGACTTTCCTTTTGGGACTTGGTCGAAGAAGTTCAATCGCTTAATTTGACTGAGAAAATCACCACCCGCGGGCTCTTGGTTCTCTACGGTAAGAACCCATTGTTTTCGCGCCTAATTTGCGTCAATTCTATTTCGGTATTATCATTTTCTGGAACTTCTCTGAGAGACTCTAATAATTTCGTTCTAAATGAAGATTTCGCTAATCCCATTTTATCATCGTTTCTTTTCAGCCATGTCGGACTTTTTCAACAGCTCTGGAATTCATGACGTAACAACTGATTCCCTGGTCTCTCGATTACGAGACGGTAAGTGCCATTAATACTGTAATTGGCTTAGCAATTACGTAATTTTTCATTTGAATTAGAAGTGATAGTAATCCGTTATTCGAGTGTAATTGTTGATTATTCCTGTATGCTACTTGTTGAACAAAATACTAAATTGAAACATGCATAATTTGTTTTGCCCAAAATTTGTTCCTTGGATAACTTTGAGTTTGCCCAAAGCAAAGGAGCAGGATCATTTGTTTTTCTGGAGGACTTATTGAAGAATATTAGTTAATAATTCGATTGTCAGCACTGTCTAATTTTGAACAGAAAGCACCATCTTACCATTATTGAGTAACTGGCTTGATGAATGTTTTGCTTCCTCCTTTTTCATTGAATATTTTTAGTAAACAAAGAGTCAATGGATCGAATGCTCTTCAACAACATGTTTCCATTGCCGATAAGCACCATGATGGCTGACCTCTTTGATTCCGTATAAACTCAATTTCGTAGCGTAGAAACCTTTCATTTCATATTTATTTGTTCCTTCTTTTTTAGATTTTTTTTTTAAGTTCCTGCAAATAAAGATGTCTTTCTACTCGTCTTTCTTGAATTTTTCTATTTCGCAGATCCTTAAAATCGAATTTGTTGTCAATTATCAACGAGTGTTTTTGGTTAAATCAAGGCATTGACCGACTTCGCCAGTTATTATGGTAGATTCTAAGATGTGGAGTAATATTACCAAGTAAAAGAGGTCATTTTTGAGGTTTGTTTTGTGTTTTCGCGCGAATAGAAACCCAATTTTTGATAAACTATTTAGATGTAATGGGTCAAAATAGTCCGGACTCCGGACTCTCAATTATCGCGGACATAATCGTATTAAAGACTATTAAGGTTCTACCAAATTGTTGATATGTGAACAGAAACGCTTTTATAAACGATCGAAACAAGCTCTTGAATTGCTAAATACAGTATTTTTATTGGAATTATAACAGTTGTGCAGTGTATAAAATAAAATTCAAAGAATTACTCGTCGGAGTCAGATTCCGCCTCTACATAGATTTGTTTATAAGTGAATCGCCTGTTGCAACCATTTTTCGGGCAGGTTCGTCTTGTTTGGATGCATGTGTAGCCAAAGCTATGTCCGCATGGAAGAAGCGCTTTTTGGTGGCCATCGGCGTTGTAATACGGAAGTGGGCAAAGTGAGCAGAAATTTTTCATGCTGTCTATAAAATATTTGTTAGGGAAAATAAGGTGTAAGCATTTTAAGGCTCACGAGTTTTTCTGAATTTTCGAGGAGGTTCCCACTGACATCTTTCCGAATATTTGTAGCTGCAGAAGCTGAATCGTTTTCTCGTACGGCTGTGAATTTTTTCCTGTTCTTCTACTTTTCCCCAGATGATCTTGAATTTCGCCATGCTCGTATCTTCCTCATCCTGAGCCTTTTTCAATTCTTCTTAAGCTTTTTTGGCCGCTTTTTCCATCTTTTGATTTCATTTTGAGCTTTTTTCGCGTTTTCTTTTGCGGTTTCGATCGCTTTTTCCGCCTCTTCTGCCTTTTTCTTTGCCAAATAAAGTTTACCTCCTTTTTCTGTTCGCTCTTTGAACATTCCATAGTAATTTTTCTCAGCTTGAATGAGCTCAATCTCCGACTTCTCAAAGCATTGCTGAAGATAGGCAAGCTTGTATCTCTGCTCTAAATTTAAAAAATATATTTTCACGTCTTCCTGTATTTTTACCTTCTGGTTCGGCAGTCCACTCAATTCCAGCGTCGCAGCAAAGGCCCACCACGAACTGCTGGTAATTCAAATCTTTGGCGTTGCATCCCTTTCCACTTTTAAAAGCAGGGCATCGAAATTTCGCATCGGAAGGTGTGTATTTAAATTCATCGTCGTCATAGAGGTAGCGAAACTTGTTAGAACAGCAATGCCGACAGATTCTTTCAATTTCCGATTCTTCAAAAGAACTATCTTCCGATTCGTCAATGGCTTGTTGATCAGTTGTTTCTAAAACCCCACTAGAATGATAGTTGACTTAAGGGGGTAGAAACAGCTTTCTCGATTTTGGACTGTAGCTACATAAAAGAAAACATAAGATTTATTTATGTTAACGAAAATTCCTCATAAATGTTCTTAGAAAAGGGGTAGAGGTTTACAAAACTTTGAATGAAATTTATTTAACTATTAGGTGAATCGAGATATTCGTGTTTGAAAAGTGGCGAAAATCGAGAATTTCGGAGAGATGAGTTGCTTCTGAGCCCGTCTACTCAAAAAATTGATAACTAAAACAAATTTCGAGGGAGATGTTCCTAGATCTAAGATGTATCTATCTTAATCTGGAGAGAAAATTTGAAAATGTAAGATTCTCTTGTCTGTAGCGCCGGTCAAAAATCGCCATTTTCGGGAAAAAGCTGTTTCTACCCCCTTAATGAAAATTTCACAAGACCATTTAACTTACCGTTCGCATCTTTCACAAAAGCCGTAGTGTCCGCGGTCTGTGATGTATTCTTTGTTGATTCTGACAGGAGTCTCAATGCCACAATCAAACAGCGGGTACATTCCATAGTCCATTGGACTCTTCTGTTTTATTTCATTCTCCTGAGTTGTCATATCTGTTTTCATTAAAGACTTAAATCAAAGAACCACGAATCATCAAATCAACCAAAGTTCTAGAAACGATGCTGAGAAGAACCAAGTTCGAGCAAAAACATCGAACTTCCGCAAAAAGAAACATGCCCACTTCGGTCTTGACATTTGACAAGTTGATGGATGACAGAACGAGAAGACAGCGTGGAGGCAGCGCATGCGAGGGCTTTCGTGAAATTTTGACGTGACTGTCGTAAGAAACATTTGAAAATTATACACAGGAGTTTGACTTGCATGAGTGGATCCTCTTTTTTTAGAAAGATATCCTCATCATCATTTCATTATCAGATATTGTTCAGTCATCCTGTGTAGATATCCTGACTCAGGTTGCCGAGCCCACAATGCACTAGAACAGTATCTCCGCTACACTGTTGTTCAGCAATAAAAACATGATAAAACTGGTATTATTATTTATTATTTTATTTCGCCTTGCTTCATCAAAAATTCCACCTCTTGGTTCAATAAATTTTCGCTTCATTCGCTCGTTTAATAATTTTATAAGCGTCAAATTTACCGCTCAATTTTTGAATGTATCTGACTTATTGTGCCATTTATTTCTGCAATTAACTCAAAGATAATATAGTTTTGGAAAGAGTATTCCTGGCTATAACTAGTCTTCTCGATCGTAAATTCTTTCACCATATCTTTTACGGGAAGGCTTAGGTTCTAAAAGCATCAATAAGGATGAATTTTTTAGACTTCATTTTCAAGCGAAAAGAGAAATTCAGCAATTAATAAATTTATTTGAGACTTTCTCATATTTTTATTCATAAAAGATGCTGATGTTTGAAAAGATCAACGTTCATCTTGCTCTGATCGCTCATTCTCCTGTCAAACATCGCCAGCGTCTTGGTCAAGTTTGCTGTTGTTTAACCGTTTAGCGCGAAACTATCATTTACGGTGTTAGTTTGTGTTGTAAAAATTCTAGCGCTTAGTACTTGATCCTTTTTCTTGCTAATTCGTAATTAAAACGAGGTCTGATGGACAGAAATGAATTAAGATCAAAGTTTTTTTACAGTCTTAAGTTTTCATTACTAAAATATCGACCCTATTCGGGAATGGGTAACCTGTTTATTTCTTTGTTAAAAAAAGCCTTAGCTTTGTGACAAGGATTAAAATGATGGGAAAGTATCTAATCAGATTCTGTTAACGTCAATATGCAGGAATCTTTAGTGTTCCCACTTCTCTTCTATTGAAATCAAGGAAGACTAATCTTGAGAAAAAGCCTTTTTCACAGGGTTAGATTTCTTTCTTCAGGATTTTAAATTCATCAAGCGCTTAATTTTCGAATTTTCAAAGTTTTAAACTTAACTTTCCAGACTTTCTATTTTTTTTAGAAAAAATTCTAGACTGAAATTTTATCATCGTTTCTAGACAACTTGGGAAGACCCAATTTGAAATTCGGAGCCTCAGATCAGAATGTCAGAACACTTCAATCCGCGAAAGAGCGACTAAGAGAAAAGTTTCCAAAAACTGGCGTTTTTTTTGTCCAGTGCAAAATCAGATTTGGCAAGTAAAGACGGCTGAGAGGCGACGGCTCGGACGTGCGCCCTGCCGCACTTGACCTCACCGGGCCTCAGTCTTGGCACACCAGTCACTTCATTTTTTCCTCTTCCTTTTCTTGCCGCCGCGCAAAATTCAGAGCTTTTCAGAGACGCTTTTTACAACCCAAAATTTTCTAAAACTGTCATCCAAATCTTCAATTTATCGCTCCGAATTTTTTTGTAAAAAAGGATTAAAATGTGTAAAATGTGTGAACACACCCTTATTTTCTTCCCACGCGTTTTCTCACTACCCAGGGGGCGTTTTCCAATTGCCCAAAAGGCGATTCGTAGAAAATTTCAAAAACCACAAAACCTAATTAACAAGCGAACAAAAGAACTATCGAGTGTCACGTGAGAACATAAGTACATAGAAGCTCAACTCAGCGCAAATAACAAGGCAAATTATGCTTTGGTTACCCGGCTTTTTTTCAGAGCCAAATCTTATTTTTTTCAAAAAAAAAGAGAAAATTTCTTTCAAAAAAAATATAGATAATTAAATAAAGAAATTTTTTTCACGATATAATAGCCGGACCATTGTTATTTTAGATTACTTAGTGACACCCGTATTAAAAATAGTAATAATATTAATACTATTTTACAATTTTATTTTACAAAATAATCAACCAAAAAAGAAGTAACATGCTAGAATTACTAAAGCAGCTGTAGTTACTGTACTAAGACCGCAAATAAGCGGGTAAGCGTGTGTCCCTGCCATTTAGCAGGTTTTCAGCTGCTCTGGTAAACCGGTCGCCACCTCCAGATTCGCCTCCGCCGGGCAAATCTCGCACTCAGCTCAATAAAGTCCCCTCGCACTAGCTAGCCACACACTTCACCGTTCTTTATTCTTCACTTTTCAATCGCAATCTTTTGTAAAAATAGAGAATAGAGAAAATAACTATCGAAATAATTACTTTGTATAGTTTTTAATTGAATTTATATTGAAGCTTTTTCTTCCAAATTGGAAAGATCAAGCTAAGGCTATTTCGCCGACAAAATAAATAATAGATTCCAATGCCCTATTCTGTGTATTTTGCACCCGAGGCGGCGTCAAGCTTGCCCCGCGGCGACGATTTTCTACTTTCACGTGACACTGACAGCGAAAAAGGAAAAATAAAACGAGCACGCTCTTTCTCTTTGGGCACACGCTCTCTCTCTTCTGAGGGAAAAAATGGGAAACGCAGATTGTGGAGAACTGGTTCTTTGATGGCTCGTCTCTGCGACCCTGAGTGCAGAATCTTGGTCTGGTGGATTTTAAATAGAACCAACGCCGGACCAGGACTTTGCTCGGGAAACAGGGCGAGCTACAGTCGACGATCTATTCTTACTGTGCAAAATATAAAAATCCTTTCAAAGACACGATATTACTTTAGAGAGAAAAGCTGCCATCTTTCAAAGAATAAAAGGTGAATTTTTCAATTGAAAGTTGGGAGAATTTTCCTTTTGATTTGACCATTCAAAATAGGTAGATTTTACTAGAACCGAAATTATTGGAGCATGACTAGTAGGCCAGAAGTAAACCGCTATTTGGCATCAGCAAATAAGAAAATTTGAGCTTTTTTGAAGTCGAAATTTCAGCAGTTTTACAGCCTTTTTACTGATGAACGGGGTTGACCAGAAAAAATGTGAATCCCTGAGGGACAGAGTTCTAAATTTTGAAGATTTGACGAGAGCTTAAAGCTTCAAGTAAATTACTTGAAAAATAGCTGAGCTGCTAGCTAACCAAATTTAGAACTCTGCTGAGAAATCACTATCCTGCGGGACTACCTGGATATGATGTCAGATATTGGGCCGAAGATCTAATTCCTCTGCTCAAGAGAACAACAACGAGAACTGCCAAGTGCCGTCTGATTCTATCCATGGAAAGACACGAGTTTGAAAGAGACAGTACAGCGAGAAAATTCACCAGTTTCATCTTCCACGATGAAAATACTTGTCAACTCTTCGCAAATGGCATTCCTCTTCCAGAAAATCCACACAAATGGAAATCGACAGTTTTTCAGCAGAAATTACTCCAAGAACACATTCACTTGCTTGGCAAAGAAATATATCGAGATGAAATCAAGGAAGAAGAAGGAAAATGGGACTTGACTTTGCTGGGCTCTGAATGTGTCCAGGAAGGAGGGGAAGCAATCGTCTTCGAGAAATTCTTTAATCAACGCCCTTTTGCTGTGAGAATTCAGGCATTTGACTCTGCGCTTTTCACTGATCATTTTTTGGGCGAAGTCAAGCTTGTCTTCAACTTTTCTTCAGGTAGGAATTTTAGGGTTAAACCAATTTATGGAAGTGATTTTAAAGATCCGGGTTTTGATTGGCCGGTAGGCCAAATACAGCAATCTTATTGGTAATCCAAAAATGCACTTCCATGAATTGATTTTGTCCGAATTTTGGTAGAAATACTTCGATAATTCTTTATTATAGGAGATTACAAGCAAGCAACAAAAATCAAGACCGACATTTTCATGTCGAGAGGGAGAGAGTACAGTAGATACATTCCGTTTCACGAAAACATAATCCAGCACTTTGCGAACATTGAGTTTTACGACCCAGATGATACTGATTTATCCGACTGTTTGGGATGGCTGACTGTCATGGAGAAAGCTGACGGTAGCCTTCGAACAGAAGAGAATTGGGAACGATAGATCTTGAAGAAAGAAAAAATATTGCGATCGGAATAAAACGAGCTGTCGAATATCTCGGCGCAGTGGGGATTTCCCACTACGACTTGAAACTAGAAAATGTTCTGTTGATCGGAAAAGTTGCCAAGATCGCCGATTTTGGAATCATATCCGACAAAACCAATCGATTGAGTTATAGAAAAATGGGATACGCACGACGAGGATCGAAGTTTAGACTGGCTCAATCACTATGTAAGTCAATTTTAGCAGAAAGTCCTGGGTTTTCATATGAACCTCTTTAGATTCTGGAACTCCTGGCTTTTCCGACTCGATGCAAATCATTGGCAACCAAGGTTACTCGGTCGACAACATCATCCGTTTTATCTTTTGTGAATGGAAAACTGCCTGGAGTCTTTTATTTGATCCTATTGACGAAGATGAGAAGGCTCTGCTCGACGAGATTTTAGAGGTTGAAATACTGTGCTGAATTGATTGCTGATTTATTTAGGAATGTAACTTGGTAAAATTCGACAAAGAGGGAAAAGGCTGCGGTATTATCAATCATACAAAAACATTTCCGTTCAAGGCAAAGTTGCAGGAAGCTACTGGAATCGCCTGTATTTCTACCTCGGGTGAAGCATACTTCGATGACCCGAAATTGACAAAGTTGCGAGAAATGTCAGTCATGAAAGAGAGTATCTTCAGAAGTCATCTTGATCATCCTAATGGACATCTTTGTGTGCCAATTTCCGTCGCAACCTTAATCTGTGATGCTCTCAAAAACGACCTTGAATATAAAACTGATGATTCCATCTTCTTCAAAGTATTTTCCATTCTGACGATGATTATTTACCCCCGAAGTTTGGCTCGATTCAATCTCCACCCTGACAGTCAAGAAAGAGAAATAGAAAAATTTCTCAGAAGACTCAAATATCCAACGTACGTGAATGCTAGTGGGTGGGAAATCCTCAGGAGCTGTCTTAAACTTCCAAAGTCAAAATTTTCGTTCGAAAGAGGTAAATTTTAATTATAACAAAAACCCATTCAAATTTTTTTCAGTTGTCTTTGACTCATCTTTTCTATTTACTCGACCTCTAACTGTAACTGCTGCATCTTCACCAGAATCAGGCGCCACCAGATTTCATCAAATGGTTCTTGACAGTATCGAAAACAATGAGTACGTTCTCAAGAACTGGAGTGAAACGATTCAGATCCCCACAAACAGACCGACTTTTTCCTATGAAACTGATCAAAAAAAGAACGAATGGTATCTACTTCCTAAGGCTTTTTCTGTGACAATTATAGTGTAAGTTGCACTGTGTAACCCTAATAAAACGAAAAAAAATACGATAAACGAAAAATCGAAGATTTTACTTAATTAATAACTCGTTATTATTCGGTTGTGAACATGAAAATGAAATATCCATCAGAAGGGCTGTCATTTTTAAGATGCAAAAGAACCGGTTCGCCAGCGTCACCAAGCTCAACGTTTGCGAAATCGGTCATGGAAAAATCCGGATCCTCCATATTTATTCCGCCGCATTTTTCGTTGCCATTGATCGCCAAATATTGATTTCCACAGGAGGTCATATCAGTGGTTAGATCTTATTTAGGGTTTTTTGTTGTACTATTTGTAGGCTTACCGCGGTGTTTTTCGATTTTTCAGGCTCTTTTGAAAAATCTCCCCATACTTTCAGAACATATGCATCAAGACAAGCCTTGAAAAACTGCACTTGCAGAATTTTCGATATGAGTCATCTTACCCCCTTTTTTGGGGGATTTTTAGCAAGAAAAAAAGCACTAGTTTGATTAGAAGCGGCTTTTGAGTGCGTGCTAGATCGATTTTGATAATTTGATGCCTACCATGTGAAAGATAAGCGCAAGATGCATCGATACATATGAAATTTATTATTGCGGAGTACTTCCTTCATATGATTCTAGAGCTCCAAAGTTGACGCAAGCAGCCAGATACGATAATCCAATATTATCAACTTCTGATATAAGCATGGTATGATGATGTTTTATAGCTCAAATTGAAGCTTATAAATTACTGAACAAAATGGAGTGGTATTTTTTTGACCAGCCGGTTGTGCTTCCGGTTCGTCGCGGTTCATACCCGGAAATAGGTCAAAATGTAGAAATATGTATATCAAATGAATTAATTTTCAACAGCGAATCTTTTGAACATATTCAGAAGTTCAACCGCCCGGTTATTATTGCGGTTCATGGTGGTTCATGGTGGTTCAAGCGCAGAAATGAACAAAATAGCAGCAATATGTATATCAAATTGAAACATAAATTAAGAACATTCATAAAATCATTTAATAAGCCCGAAGCAACCGGTTGTTCTCCCGGTAAATGGCGGTTCCAAACGGTTCAAGCCGGTTCAAGCTAAAAACATGCTCAAAGTGGTTCAATATGGTTATCAAATGTATTCATTTACAATAGCGAAGCTTTCTAGCATATTAAGAAATTCAACCGCCCGGTTATTCTTGCGGTTCATGGTGGTTAATCGTGGTTCAAGCCCAGACATGAACAAAATAGCATCAATATGCATATCAAATTGAATCTTGTATTAAGTACATTCGTCGAATCATTGAATAAGCCCAAACCACCCGGTAACTCTCGTGGAAAAAGGCGGTTTCTGACGGTTCAAGCCGGTTAAAGCCGAATATATGCTCAAAATGGTTCAATATGTATATCAAATGAAGAATTATTCAAAAGCACGTCTTTTGAAACTTTAACGAGATCCGGACGCGTGATAAAACACTGAATATGCGCAAACCGCCCGGTTTTAATCGATTTTGTCTCTTTAAACGGGCGAAAATAAGGGGAGGCCAGGCCCAATTATTCAATTCAGTCTGAGACGGGGCCAAGCCGACCCGAAGGGGAGGCAAGGCCCGTTTATTCAATTCAGTCTGAGACGGGGCCAAGCCGACCCGAAGGGGAGGCCAGGCTCGTTCAAAGAATTCAGTCTGAGACGGGGCCAAGCCGACCCGAAGGGAGGCCAGGCGCGTTTATACATTCAGTCTGAGACGGGGCAAAGCCAAGCCGAAGGGAAGGCCAGGCGCGTTCATACAATTCAGTCTGCGACGAGGCCAAGCCGACCCGAAGGGAGGCCAGGCCCGTTTAAACAATTCAGTCTGAGACGGGGCCAAGCCGACCCGAAGGGGAGGCCAGGCCCGTTCAAACAATTCAGTCTGAGACGGGGCCAAGCCGACCCGAAGGGGAGGCAAAGCCCGTTTATTCAATTCAGTCTGAGACGGGGCCAAGCCGACCCGAAGGGGAGACCAGGCCCGTTTATTCAATTCAGTCTGCGACGGAACCAAGCCGACCCGAAGGGGAGGCCAGGCGCGATCATACAATTCATCCGTGGCAGACTGAATTGAATAAACGGGCCTTGCCTCCTCTTCGGGTCGGCTTGGCCCCGTCGCAAACTGAATTAAATAAACGGGCCTGGTCTTTCCTTCGGGTCGGCTTCGGCTCGTCGCAGACTGAATCGTTTCAACGGGCCTGGCCTCCTCTTCGGGTCGGCTTGGCCCCGTCGCAGATTGAATGGTATAAACGGGCCTGGCCTCCCCTTCGGGTCGGCTTGGCCCCGTCGCAGACTGAATTGTTTAAACGGGCCTGGCCTCCCCTTCGGGTCGGCTTGGCCTCGTCGCAGACTGAATTGTATGAACGCGCCTGGCCTTCCCTTCGGGTTGGCTTTGCCCCGTCTCAGACTGAATTGCATAAACGGGCCTGGCCTCCCCTTCGGGTCGGCTTGGCCCCGTCTCAGACTGAATTGAATAAACGGGCCTGGCCTCCCTTCGGGTCGGCTTGGCCCCGTCTCAGACTGAATTGTTTGAACGGGCCTGGCCTCCCATTCGGGTCGGCTTTGCCCCGTCTCAGACTGAATGTATAAACGGGCCTGGCCACCTCTTCGGGTCGGCTTGGCCCCGTCTCAGACTGAATTGTTTGAACGGGCCTGGCCTTTCCTCCGGGTCGGCTTGGCCCCGTCGCAGACTGAATTGAATAAACGGGCCTGGCCTCTCCTTCGGGTCGGCTTGGCCCCGTCTCAGACTGAATTGAATAAACGGGCCTGGCCTCGATCAAAATCGATTAAAACCGGGCGGTTTGCGCATATTCAGTGTTTTATCACGCGTCCGGATCTCGTTAAAGTTTCAAAAGACGTTCTTTTGAATAATTTTTCATTTGATATACATATTGAACCATTTTGAGCATATATTCGGCTTTAACCGGCTTGAACCGTCAGAAACCGCCTTTTTCCACGAGAGTTAACGGGTAGTTTGGGCTTATTCAATGATTCGACGAATGTACTTAATACAAGATTCAATTTGATATGCATATTGATGCTATTTTGTTCATGTCTGGGCTTGAACCACGATTAACCACCATGAACCGCAAGAATAACCGGGCGGTTGAATTTCTTAATATGCTAGAAAGCTTCGCTATTGTAAATGAATACATTTGATAACCATATTGAACCACTTTGAGCATGTTTTTAGCTTGAACCGGCTTGAACCGTTTGGAACCGCCATTTACCGGGAGAACAACCGGTTGCTTCGGGCTTATTAAATGATTTTATGAATGTTCTTAATTTATGTTTCAATTTGATATACATATTGCTGCTATTTTGTTCATTTCTGCGCTTGAACCACCATGAACCACCATGAACCGCAATAATAACCGGGCGGTTGAACTTCTGAATATGTTCAAAAGATTCGCTGTTGAAAATTAATTCATTTGATATACATATTTCTACATTTTGACCTATTTCCGGGTATGAACCGCGACGAACCGGAAGCACAACCGGCTGGTCAAAAAAATACCACTCCATTTTGTTCAGTAATTTATAAGCTTCAATTTGAGCTATAAAACATCATCATACCATGCTTATATCAGAAGTTGATAATATTGGATTATCGTATCTGGCTGCTTGCGTCAACTTTGGAGCTCTAGAATCATATGAAGGAAGTACTCCGCAATAATAAATTTCATATGTATCGATGCATCTTGCGCTTATCTTTCACATGGTAGGCATCAAATTATCAAAATCGATCTAGCACGCACTCAAAAGCCGCTTCTAATCAAACTAGTGCTTTTTTTCTTGCTAAAAATCCCCCAAAAAAGGGGGTAAGATGACTCATATCGAAAATTCTGCAAGTGCAGTTTTTCAAGGCTTGTCTTGATGCATATGTTCTGAAAGTATGGGGAGATTTTTCAAAAGAGCCTGAAAAATAGAAAACACCGCGGTAAGCCTAACTATTTGGAAGATGCTATTTAATAATATTGAGCCCATTCCTGTGAATTCATTGCTATTTGGATTGAAGACAAAATTCGTTGAAGCAACAATGATCTTCTGATCACCCTCAGGAATCAATTTGAGGTAGCAGTCGCTTACGGGAATCTTTGGATCACCAGACATTTCCGCGGCCATTTCTTCGTCATTCAGAACTTCTCCTTCTTCGTTGAACAGATTCGGCGAGCTTATAAAAAATCTACGACCTCAGGGCTACAATATTTACTTACGCGATGAGGAACGTATTATCTTCTGCATCAGGATATGTTGTGGTATTCCATTCTTCTCCACCAACAAAGAAGTAAACAGGTTGCTGAGCAGTGGAACCTTCCTGGCAAATGTTTGTGTAAGGCTTTTCAATGTTCTCAATTTATGTCACAACTAATTCTAATCAAAAAATATTTGAGAGATTTTCTTTTGGATTCTTGGTTTATCGCCGAGAAAAAGTATTGTAATGATAACAACAGCGACAACGACGAGAAGGCAAACGAAACCTGCGACAATTCTGCCACAACTCATTTTTGTTCCCTTTTTTACGCGAAAACAAGCAACTGAAGTAATTACGGTGACATCGTACATCAAAATAATGGTGTTCTCGAAATTCGTAAATTCACACTAGGCAAAATGTTTTCTGATTTATTTACAATTTTTCAAATGGTCATGTACAGATTGAGCTCGTCAAGGAGGTCGCAGCGGGGATCACGTGGATCATTTTCTTGCATGGCGAATTTGTAGGAATCTGAAATTTTCATTTTTAATTTGAATTTGATCAAGTCTTACTTTTATCGCCTGAGTCAAACCACTCGTTATTTTTCAGCCAGCTTTCCCATTGAACTGCTTCGGTTCCATCTGTGGAAACAAAAATTTAAATAAATCAGAAGATTGAGCTTACCATTCGGACTTCCCGTTCTAATAAAGTTGCCGATATAATTTTGATAGGCTTTCTGAAAATCTTGATCATCTTCGTCGCTATCATCAGTTTCCGTTATTCTTGAGAAAAACCAGTATTCTGCTGAACCATGATGAACAACTTGCTGCCAGGGCAAAACTTGAGTAGTCAGAGAAAGGAATATCTCGCTATTTCTTCGTTTGAATTTTCTCTCCGAAGCTAAAATAATATTTTCTTATTTTTAGCGCTTATTCTATACCAGGGAATCCATCTGTCATGCATCTGTTCATATTGCAGTACCATGTGAAATCAGTTAAAAATTTATCTGCTTGAGGAAGACACTCTTCTTTTGGATCGTCGGGGCAGTTGTAAAAACCAGCATCCTTTACTTTCTTCAAATCATCCTCTTCGAGCAAATGGTCAAGCAGCCAATTCCAATTTGTCTCACAGACAGTAATTCCAGGTTCTTCGCATTGAACTCCCCACATCATCAAATTGATGAAAAATGCTCCTTCGTTGTTGGAAACATCGATGATCAGAGGCTTGTCGTGGATTTCTCCCTTTGAGAATGAGTAAAAGGGCATTTCCTCGAGCATTCCTGTGTTGATTATCGGCGAGTAAGGCTCTGCAATCATCGTTAGTCGGTCAAAGTTCCCGATCGGTAGAAACTGTTGAAGCGTCCAGGCTGCTTTGTTGATCTCTTCTGCTGTCTTGTTTTTCATGCAAGCGACAGTGTCTTCGTCAATTTTGTTTCTACACCTAGGGGAAATGCTAGGTGCCAAAGGATCATCGCAGCATTCGACAAGATTCGCGATCCCTTCCGTGATCAATTCTCCCTCATCAGCATTATAATACGGTAGCCCCTGAGGGCCAGAGAAAGCAATAGCCTTGTGGAAGAAATTCTTACTCGATTCCATCACCATATGTGCATGAACACTTTGTCCTCCAGCGCTCATCCCGCCGATTGTGATATCATTTTCATTTCCACCAAAGTATTTGGCGTTTTCTGCAACCCATATCATCGCCATTTGTTGATCCATCAGTCCTTGGTTTCCAGAAACTGGTTTATCGCTGTATTGCACTCCATGTTCGTCGGCTAGTTTTTTCTGAAGAGCTTCTGAAAACATGAAACCAAAGGCGCCAAGTCGATAATTAACGGAGATAACGATGACATCTTGAGTAGCCGCAATAAAAGCCCCCTTTTCAGGCGTGACTGCAATAGTATTGCTGCCAAAGAAAAATGCCCCGCCATGAAAATAAATCAGAACACTGAGTTTTCTACCACTTTCGATCGCCTCAATAGGAGCATGAATATCGAGATAGAGACAGTCTTCAGTCAGCCTCTCGCCAGACGTAAAACCTTGAATGCATCTTTGCGATGCTTCCTTCGCTTTATAAACCCCTTCAACTGAATCAAACCGCTCATAGTTTTTCAAATCCCTTTCGATTTCTGGCGCCATCCAACGACGTTCCCCTACTGGAGGTTTTGCGTAAGGAACACCCCGAAGAACGACGACTTCCTCGTTGATTTCATGTCGATAGCCCTAACTCATAATTGTTTTGTATATCACTTGATGTTAACAAACCTGTATCTTTCCGAGAGGGCCGAAATCAACAGTGTACCAATTTGTTTCATCAGGAGCCTCTGTAGACAATGTGGTTTGTGAAGAGCTTGTTTGAGTAGCTTGAGTTGTCTTCGTTGTCGTTGTTGAAGAAATCGTCGATGTTGTTGGTCTTTGTGTTGAGCTTGTACTCGATTGGGTTGTTGCAGTTACTGAGGAATGCTCCGTCGTTGTTGTCTTGTCAAAAGAGTCGGAAACAATACTGTAGATTTTCTCTTCGACATCTTTATCGTATGCGCCATACAAAACCCCCGTGATGATCCCAACCGAAATCAAACATGAAAAAAATATAATCAACAAATATTCAAGCCACTTTTTCATCTTGTGGAATCTCAGGAATGCAAGAAGGCGTTCCAGAATTATGGGCGTGATCGGAATTGAAAAGTTTTGGAAAAGTTTAATTGCGAACTTTTATCAGAATGTTAAATAGTCATGTACAGATCGAGAGAGTCTATAAAATCGCAGCGAGCTTCGCGGGGATCGGATGTTTGCATCTGGAAACCACGTGTTGCTGAAATTTATTTTCACCATTTACTATCTTTATCTGTCACTACCTTCTGCTCCGACATCGAGCAACTTGTTACCGACTGACCACTCTTCCCAATCAGCCTGATCTTTGTGTTCATTTTCGACAGGGTTCCCAAGGTAGTCTAGAATTTTGGGTGCGCGTCGTTTGCTACGGTTTGGGGGGTTTGCGTATATTTCTACGATGCGTATATTTCTACGGTGCGTATATTTCTACGGTCAAAAATGAGTCATAGGGACCGTAGCAATTGACGCAAAGTTTAGGGTGGGGAAAAAGCCGGGTCGGTTTTGTCAGTTATTAATAAAATTAAAATAATTTAAAGCTATCTTAGTCGGTCGGAACGATAGTGTGGTCGGTTTCCGCTTACAAAAATGAAAACAATATGTAGGAAAATAATTTTAAGCCTTGGTTCAATAAGCATTGTCAAAGTATGATACTTATTTATCTTTTTGTAAGGGAAAACTGACAAGACACTCGTTCCGACCGACTTAGATAGCTTTAAATTCTTTTAATATTATTAATAACCGACAAAACCGACCCGGCTTTTTGCCCACCCTAAACTGTGCGTCAATTGCTACGGTCCCTATGACTCATTTTTGACCGTAGAAATATACGCACCGTAGAAATATACGCATCGTAGAAATATACCGTATATTATATACGCAAACCCCCCAAACCGTAGCAAACGACGCGCACCCTAGAATTTTGATAACGCCACGCTTTAAAATTTGTCTTACTGTTTGGATCGCCAGTTCGAATAAAATTCGACAAGTATTGAACATAGCTGTACTGGAAGGGTTTATCATCAGCGTATCGTGGATCATTGCGAAGCGCATCGTGGAAGTACCAGTGTTCGCCGACTCCATGTCGAACTCCCTCTTCAATTTTGTCCCATGGAAGTCGTTGGCTCACACGTGCGATGTAGAGGCCCGTTTTACGGTCGCTTCGGCCGAATCTTTAATAAATCGATAAATATAATTAAAGAGTCAAATCTCACCGAGTTCTTCCGGCTCCTTGAGTAGGGTAACCGTCTTCGAGACAACGTCTTGCATTGCAGTACCAAGTAAAGTCTGTTAAAAATTCATCGACTTTATGCAGACATTCAGAGCCATCCTCAGGACAGTTATAAAAGCCAGCGTTTATGATCTTTATAAAATCTGAAGGGGACAAAAGTGCAGCCAAGAATGCGTCCCAGTTTTCTTCGCATACTTTTTGAGAAGATGGATACGTTTCATTTGGACACAAAAATCCGTTGAAAACTGGTTCTACGAAACCGTAGCCTTCATTGTCTGCGACATCGATGATGGTTGGCTTGTCATGAAGCTCTCCTCGTTGAAAGTGAAAGTACGGCATGTCTTGGAGCGTTCCAGTGTTGATAATTGGCGCGTAGGGCTCAGCAATCATCGTTAATCGCTCAAAATTTCCGATTGGAGCAGCTTGGCTCAAAGTCCAGGCAGCTCGGTTTATCTGCAGCGTTGTCTTACCCATCATACAGGAGATTATTTCGGGAGTTGTTGGCCCATCACAGGTGGGAATAAGTCCTTCGATGCCTTCAACATCCTCAGGTCCTTCGCAGCAATCCGTCAATTCCGCTATTCCTTGCAGGATTTGTTCACCTTCAGTATCATTATAATACGGAATGCCATTTGGTCCGGAGAAGGCGATTGCTTTATGAAACAATTTTTCGCTGAAATGACAGATTTAGTTGGAATATGCAAATATGTCGTTTGATTTAAAGAGCGTACGCAAATTTTTACTACTGCTGGTCATTACCTGCTCGGCATAACTAAATGAGCATGTACACTTTGCCCGCCTGCGCTCATTCCGCCGATGGTGATATCGTCTTTATCGCCACCAAAGTACTAGAAATATTGAATTATCAAAAACCGATATGACAACCTACCTTCGAATATTCGCCAGTCCAGATCATCGCCATCTGCTGGTCCATTAATCCTTGATTTCCAGAAGTAATTTTATCGTCGTAATACTCAAGACCGTGTTCTTTGTCAATTCGGTCATCGAGCAACTCGGAAAACAAAAACCCGAAAGCGCCAAGTCGATAATTTGCTGACATGACGACGATGTTCTGCTCCAGAGCAATAATCGACCCCTTATTTGGAGAAATGACTTTGTTGGTGCCTCCCAAAAACGCGCCGCCATGGAAGTAAAGAAAGATTTTCAATTTTTCTTTGTTCTCAATTGCTCTCCGAGGGACGAAAATATCCAAGTACGTGCAGTCTTCCGTTATTGAAGGATTGACATTGAATGCATTCGGACAGCTCGGAGTAGCTTCTTCAGCAATGTAAACTCCGGTCCATTCGTCGTCGATGATTTCCGACCTTGGATATCCCTCAAGGCTGCGCTCGATGACAGGGGCTTTCCAGCGGAGGTCGCCGACAGGAGGCTTCATAAAAGGGATACCGCGCATAACGACAACATCCGGATAGTCTGGATTCAAGTAACCACGGATCGTTCCTAGCGCTCCAAAATCAACTTCGTAATACTCTATTTCTGGTTGAGAAGTTGAAGAGCTTGGTTGGGAAGTAGGAGTTGTGAAGCCGTCAATTATGTCATAAACTTTCTCTGGCAGCGCATCATCATATGCTCCGTACAAAACACCCATGCTGATTCCCACCGAAATCGAACATGCTCCAAAAAGTATCAAAATATATTCCACGCATTTTCGCATTTTTACGAAAATTGTTCTGGGCAAGCGTAATGCGCTGAAAAGGTCAGAATAGTTTGTTCTTCTGCGCAAAATATTAAGTAGATGCCAAGTTAATATTAAAGCTGGAGACAACGCTCAGAACTGGGAGGCGTGATTGTTTGATGTTATTTACAAATGCTTAAGTTTTGAATCTTTATGGCGACACCCTTAAGCTCTTGAAATCGAAAAGCTTGAAAAATATTTACTAAATCAAAAAAATGCCGTTCTAAATTGATAATTTGGGCGAAAGTATATCGCCTAAAAAAAGGATGTCAATTGATGATATCGATTGAACGTGATCCGCTAAAACGAAAAGCTACATCTCAAGAACGTGGACTATGTTTTACATTGTCAGATAAGACCAATAGCGCAATAAAAGGACAGAAATAATGATAATTCCGCAAAAGAAGGGTTTTCAATTTTTAGGCTTTTTAGAACAATAAAATGCGCGTGCTTCCGTTTGTTTTCGGTAAATTGCCCAAAAAGAGATTCCAACAGAGAATTAATCAACCTTTTTTTCTAGCTTTTTGCAGAGCTGACGAATCAACAGCTGCTCCAGACCGAAATGACACTACAACTGCTCCAGAAACCGTCGAGCTAAAAGCAGCGTATCGAAATCACGTGGTGCAAATCGACTCCAACGCTCCTCAATCGACCTTTTCTAATCCAAAGACCAACGTCGCGATCCTTTCAAAGAACTTGTTCAAGCTCTCTGATGAAAGAATCGGCCTCAGTCTTTTCAACCAAATCGGCGATTGGCAAAAGCAGACTGGGTATTTCGAGCATCCATCAGCGGTAAGCAAATATATCGGCAGCGGAAATCTGATTGAATTTAGGACCATGATCTGAAAGTCAAATACAAAGCTGTCGGAAAATCTCTTGCGCTCAATGCGATGATCGAGCAAGCTGGTTTTCAGGATAGTGGGAAGCTGAAATACTACGGATGCTACTGTCTTCCAAGGTAAGAAAGAAAGTGACACGGCCATTTAAGGTATTTTTTCGCTAGTGAGTTGTACCACAAAGATTTCCAGTGGCACGATACAATCGGCAAAGGAAAGCCAGTCGATGCCATTGATAGAGTTTGCCAAAAACTAATCAACTGCTACAAATGCATCCACAAGACGTACCATGATTGCCCATCCCAGAGCCCATACAGTCTCCACGGAGCTTGCTGTAAGATATATTTTGCTCTTCTAAGACAGCATTGATTTCTAGCCGAAAACGACACCGGATGCGGCCGAGATCTTTGCGAGTGTGACACCGACTTTGCCAAGGAAATCGCAGAAGTCGAGGATACCTGGAATGAAGAATACACGCAGCGAGGAGGGTTTGATCGATCAACTCAATGTGCTCCTCATCACGAAGATTCTCACCCAGATGCAATGGACCTCATTCGTGCCGGTCAAAAGGAAACGTCTCCTCGACCAGCGGTTGGCGCCAAAGAACCAGTGGTGAAAAATTGTTGCGGGAAGGGACTTCAGGTGAATCTCTTTAACCCGGAGCGTCAAGAATGCTGCAAAGATGGAAGTACAAAGGCGATCGGAACATGCCCCTTGTAAAATTATAATTTTCACAATTTTAAAATTATGCTTGGCTTTTCTTTAAATAATCCTCAAGTGGAATCATGTTCATTCGAGACAATCAAATGGACACTCAAAAGTATAAACCCTTCTTGTAAAAAAAACACTTCTCTGTCATTCTACTTGCCTGACGCAACTGACACCAGTTTGCGATCTTTTCTATCTGTATATTTCTAAATAAATTCCCATTTTCAAATATTTTTTATTATATTCATGTTGCATGTTTGCAGGATAAAATTCCATGAGCGAGATATCCAACACAAACTCCAGCAAAGGCAATGTTCGTCAGCATCACTTAAAACATCGAAAATAGAAACCTTTCATTATATAATTTATCTTACGAAGTATTTGAGCGATCACAAAGCGATAGAGAAAATCCTCGCTTGTTTGGACAGGGACGACTGGTCGAGGTGGTGGTGGAGCAACATAAATTGTTTGGACTGTTGGTTGTTGAATTGGCTGCACCATCTGCAGTTGACCATTCGGAAGTTGAACGTAAGTTGGTAAGCTGTTGGCGACTAAAAATCAAGTTATATTTTTGAAATTCAAATTTTGAATTCTTTGAAAGCAACCTGGAATTGTCTGGGGTGCAGGCCCAGTGACGGGTAATGAAACTGGAACAGCAGCTTGGCTTTGTGGCGAGGCGAATGTCGTTGTATTTGGTGCTTATTTTTTATGATTTTGGACAAGTAAAATCCTTACGTGGTGGTCTAGGTGGCGCAGTTGTAGTAGCAAAAGCCGACCGGTTGGGCGCGGAAGGGACAATTTCCTCGGGCTCGCAATTATTTTGTCCTTGCTGCTCATTTTCCCTGACTTGCCGATTTTTGAATGAGCAGAACAGTTTGATTATCTGTAGTGTAAATATCAGAGAGACAATGAGATCGATGCAGGACATCGCCATTGATGCTCTCAATATCGGCAAATGAAGAGAGTAGTATCCATCAGCATAAACAACAATAATCAAAACGGCGGCGGTTATATTCAATGCGCAAATCACCCAAACAAGAACGTATTCCATGAAAACATTTTTATGAGTCACAGAGCTTCCCAAGCAAAGAGACACTCCAACAATCACTTTATTGAATGCAAACCAAATGCATGCAGTAACAAATGCTCCAAAAATGTCTGAATACCTGCAGCTTGAGGAATAAGCAGGAATAATGCTTTCCATTTCTCTCGCCGTCTCTCAGAATCAAAAAATTTTTATATTTGCGGAGATCAGAATCGTGTGTGCTCTATTGAGATTCATAAATTTTATTGAAGACAAACGGTCACAGGAAATTCAGAAGCATGAAATCGCTAATGCTTGCATCTTCCTAGTCCAATGGACAAATACACAACGCAGAGCACACTGAAGAGGATGTTCAGCATCATCGTGACAATAACACTCATAACGAGTGAGCAATCAAAGCAATCGCTTTTTCCGGCACTATCGTCATTTCCAGGTGCTGCAACTTGAACATAAATGGGGAAAACTTGAGGTTGCTGTGAACTGGGAACTTGTCCTTCAACGACATCATTGTATGCTTTATGGAAAATAATCATATGAACGCTTGAAAAACACGAACCTGGAGGAGCGTCTTCATCGTACGGGTTCGGAACAACCGGTTGAATCGGAACAACCGGTTGAGCCGGTACAATCGTTTGAACCGTGGGTTGGAGGATAATGTGATTTTGAGGCACAACTTGCTGATTTGAATACTCCAAAACTTCTTTATTCTTTATCAAACATAATCTCCGGATTCCGTTAGCAAACGCGCAAAAAGAAAAAATAAAGCCTAAATTTATTCACCGTATTTTCGCCGTAGGACGTAAATACTCACTTATACTGTATAAGTTATACAGCTCAATGCCAACGAAGCCCTCAAGTAAACAAGCTCCATATCGGATCTTTTACTGCTAATGTAGGTATGTAGTGTAAAGGAAGACGCGAAAATTCCCGATAAACCGCAAATACCGGACAAGAGTTCAGAGTCATTTCCGGCAGCAGGTAGTAGTAAGAAACTGTACCAAATCCACAGCCAAGCAGTAACATAAGCTCCAAAGATTTCATCTCTATCACAAGAATAAAAAGTTGTTTCACCCATCTTTCCATCATATAAAAAAGATTCTGTTACTTCATAAAGCAACATATTTGAATAGATTGAATATCTGATCGGTCATATATTCTTCAATTTCTCTTTACAAAGCTTAATAATGGCCTCTTACAAGATGACAGGCGAATTACGAAGCGGGTAAATCGTGAAATTAACATTCAAATAGTGATTCAAGCGCCCAGGAAGAGAGATTCCTACACATTTCATCGGGTTTAATTGGAAATTTATTCAAGAAAATGAGTCCGAATTGAACTAAGAAATACATGTAAAGAACTCGCAACAAATAAAGACTACTGCTGATGTGTGTTGACATAAAGTCCTCAATTAATCTCCCGGGCAACCTAGATTAATTAGCACACTTCCGCTCTTTATCAACTGTGCGCACCTTAATCAGCTGCTTTTCCCGCGCTCTTCCCTGTGCAAGATCCATTTAGGATCATTCAATAAAGTGAGCTTGTATAAGTTGGACGACTTTTTCACCAGTTGAATCAAGAAATATATATACGCAAGAGCCAAGTATATCACTGGCGACTGCACAGATAAAAAACCCAGAGACCTCCCCCGAACGAAGACTGAAAACTACATCAAGAGAACTCTCCAATTGTGCCGAATCCAGATCCTGTTGCTGAAACTTGTAAGTTAAAGTGTGAATCTTGGGAGTGGGAAGAAAGGCAATTTGGGAAAAGTGTTTTATCTTTTGGTGGACGCCTTTATTGGATCTTTGGATTGCCTGGACTTCTTTATCGTTGCGATCTCACACGCGCTAGTGGTCTCCAACCGAGCCGCGCCGATTCCGAGCGCCGCATCGCCGCACGAGTGACTTCCTACCGCGACGCCGGAAAAACTTCCGCGAGTGGTCTCCAACCGAGCCGCGCCGATTTTTAGCACCGTATCGCCGCACGACTGATTTCCTACTGCGCTACCGTAACTTGCGTTGTTCTCCTGCCACGCAGATACACATCTACTCAGTTACAGAAGTAGTCAACTATACGCTGCGCTTTGATTTTGGTAACAAGCTCCCGCGTGGTTCCGTTAACACAAATCACGACTATCAACCTCGATCATCAGCAACCCGTTGAGTGATCACAACGACGGTCGCACGTGTCGATTACCCGCAGAATTCCGCTGCTCATTATCAGTCTCCTGCTGTTCTCGTTGCAATCAAACGAAGTATCCCGCAGAACTCTTCATTAGCAGCGTCCTGTCATTTCTGGAACCCGCTGAGCTGAGCTCGCACGCAAACTTTCTGCTGCGACTGACACCATTTCTCCCAGTCGAAACTTAAGGGTATCACTCGTTTACCCGAAAAAACGCTCGCTAGCTTGTCGATTCGTCGGACACTCATCTAAGCAAAAGCGCGCCTCTCCTAAAGTCAACATGGGCCTCAAACCTGTTGCTGAACTCACTGTTGCCGAACTTCGAGCAGTCTGCAAACGCCTCAAGTTGGACACTAAAGGCCTAAAGGCTGAATTACAACAAACACTTCGGGCTCATGCTAAGAAAATTGGATATCGCCGAACGGACGATCTTAAAGACTTTGTTATCAATACAGATAACATCGATACTGAGAACCAGGATGCACCAGTAACGACTGTCAGTAGCGCTGATCCTGCTCTATTACTGTCGTCCTCGATCATTTCAGTACCCACGACGGAGTTGCCATCGGTAACAAGTCCAGCGCCTGTTTCATCATCGTCCTTTGCATTTCCGCAGCCTTGCTCAACGGTGCCGATCTCGACGACAAGTCTTGATTCAATGACTGCGTCCTCGATGTTTACTCCTCAGGAGAGCAATTCCAGAGCCGATTCGGTCTCCCGCATCCTTGGTGGATCTACTACTACTACATCGGCAGCATTTGGTGGTCAATATGGTCTTTTCGGAAATCGCCTAAATTCTGGATTGGCCTCGAATAGGAACGTGATTGGTCAATCAGCGCAATTTGCGAAAACTTCGCCTCCTCTGACGCCGCCGATGAATCAATTCGCAGTCAACTCTGCTGGTGCAAGCACTGGAAAAGCCAGAGACAACTTAAGAAAGGAAAGTTCCGACATCAAACTCGTTGTTTCGCGAGAGCCGCAAGAGATCGAGAATCTGCTTGACCAAATTCTGAATTTGGGAAGTATCTACGAGTGGAGCGACGCGCAGCGCATGATCGTGCTTCGAACTAAGCTCAGCCCGCAAATTCAGCGAGAAATCGGAATTTCGGGTCTTGGAAACTTCGAAGATGCCGCGGAACGCCTCCGTAAAAGATTGGGATTCAGTCATCAGAAGCTGACGTTGTTGATCGAAAAGCTCTCTCGTGGACGTCAAGAGACCGTGACTGCTGCCTTTTCGCGACTTATCAATCTTCTCTCTTCTGCTGGATCCGTTTTCCCAAATCTGCCTGAAGAAGCCAAGCAAACGGTGTTGCGCCAGGCACTGCGAAGAATCCTCCGCCCAAGCGAATTTCAGTCCTTCTATCTCGCTTGGATCGCCCAGCAGATGCCAACCAATCTTTCCTCGGTAGCAGAAATCCTCAGCCTTCTTGAGGGAACTTTCGCTAGCCCAGCCGAAGCCGTGGATCTCGAGAATGACGAGTACGATTTGAATGCAGCAAATCGCGAAATCGTCTGCCACCTGTGCGGCGAAAATGGGCACGTGATGAGAAACTGTTCCTTGATGACTGGAATCAGGCAGATTTCAACAATCACGTCGCGACTGGACCAGTTGGAAGCGATCGCAATAAAGCAAGACTCGTCTTTTGAGCGGCTTCTGAACAAAATAGAAATGATTGCTGAGAACCAGTCCGCTTACAACTCGACGCAGCAGCAGCAGCAATCACAAGGCCAGAAGCAAGGACAGGGTGGGAGCAAGAATCATCGCAACACGAAGCCTTACTGTGAGGTGTGCCCACTTTTGCCAACTGGTTACCCGCCTCGTCACTTCAAGCAAATGTGCCCAACAAAATCCCAGCATTGACTAGGCGGGGATTCTCCAGGCTCAGAAAGCCAAAAACTCGCCTGTCATGAAATCTCGCTGCCTTCCCTGCTTCCGAAAATCAGACTACAAATTCTCGACACTGAACTTCTTACTCTCGTTGATTCGGGAGCCAACTGCTCGATTTTGGCCCAAGAACTCGCTGCTAAATTCCCTAACGCGCGCCGTGAGCCTGTGGAAGCGAGCATTGTCGTTGCGAATTCTGACAAGATGCGCTGCAAGGAAAAGATCATTCTACCATTGTGCCTGAACGGAAGAGTTCGTTACCAGAGTTTCCTCATCGTCCCTGGCCTCAACCACGAATGTATCCTTGGAATGAACAGCTGGAAAGAATTGAGGATCAACCGAGACACAGAAACGATCCAGATTGACGGAGAGACCTACGATATGGTTCAAACTGGCCGACACCTTGCACTAAACAATTTGGTCGCGGCTACCATTGGTCCTGAGTCCTTAATGCCAATCAGAGTGAAAGTTCCTGTCGGTGAAGACGAGCTCGAGGATGTGATCCTGGTTGAGCCTTCACCAGATGGATTCTGCAAGGAACAAGGTATCGAGACTTGTGAAGCGATTTACAGTGCTGCGAAATGCCAAACAATCCTCGTATACAACTCAACGAACGTGGCGCTTACCATTCCAGAGGGCGCGCAGGTGGCGACCGCTAGCCTCATGAAAAGAACGAAAAGGGGGCAGTTTGAGTTCAATGAGCTGGTCAGTGTTTCAAGCAGTGAATTCGACCGTGAGTGGGAGGAGCATCAACGAAATCGCGAAATTCGACTTAAGGGTCCAGACCGCTATAAGTACAAGGAAGTGGAAATCGGCCCTGACCTCACGTTCGAAGAGAAGAAAGCAATGACGGAGAAGCTGGACAAGTATTGGAAGGTTTTCTCGACTGGACCGCAGGATCTCGGCATGGCGAAGTCTCTGGCCTTCAGAATCCGACTGAAAGATGAGACAGCCCGAGTTTACGAGAAGCCTATTCCTGTGCGCCCTGGATGCAGAGAGAAGGCTACAGTGGTCATCGAAAATTGGTGCAAGGCGGGCGTCGTCAAGAGGGGAGCGAGCGACTTTAACCTCCCTCTCTTTTTTGTGAAGAAGG